CCCCCCCCCCCCCCCCCCCCCCCTGTAGAAATTCCTGACTTTGCAAGTTTTATTGCGGAATCCGACAGATCTCAGCGAGCGCAGTCGGATGCGGCAATCAGAAAAAAAAAATTAAAACAAATTGGGCATTTTTTGGGGGCATCCGGTTTTGCCAGTTCACCCCCCCTGGACCGGTCTGGCCCTGGTTGGACCGGGGCAGGTGATCCGGCTGGTTGCTGGCCCAGCCCTGGTTTGCACCCATTTGCACCCTTCTCCCCCCCCCCCCCCCCTTCCGCCGTTGGTTCTTCACCTCTTTACCCTCCTCCTTCTCCACCCGCTTTTCTGCTGTTCTCCTTTTATTTTTGTCAAAGCAGGAGGGTCATATCCCGCCCTCTTCTTCCTCCTCCTTTTTGCTGTTGTTCTCTCATGTCCGTCAATAGTGGGGATGAGGATCATACGGATTCATACCTCTATGGTAGGCGATGATTGGCTGGAGTGGCGTAGTTGTAGCATCATGGGTTTGTTGAACCAGTGTGTTCTCCCCTGGTTTTATTATGCGGCGCACGGAAACTCTAGACTTCTATATCAAAGACAATACCACATTGCGCCTGCGGCAACGCCCGTGGGCAAAAGCCATGATCCTTGTGTCAGTGGTTCAAATCCCCACTTCTGAACAAAAGGGGATTATTTAGAAGTGGTATGATCCTGGTGCACCGAAACTCTCGACTTCTATATCAAAGACAAAGGGATCATGGCTTTTGCCCATAGGCGTTGGCCCAGGATCATGTCATCATGGCAAAAGCCATGATCCTGGCGCACAGAAAGTCTGGACTTCTATATCAAAGACAATACCTGCTGAATCCATATCAGTTAATATTGCTGAATAATGGTATGAAGTTACTATGAACATTTCACGAGTTGAAATCGCGATGGAAAAATACAATGGGGTTGAATGGGTACAATATTGTTAGGGGCTAACCCACTTATCTTTTTTCTTTTTTTCTTTTTTTTCTAATTATTTCTCGATTTATGTGTGTCATCCTTGTGCAGGGGCCATGGTAATCATCTCTTTATCTTTCGAATGTTGTCCCGACGGACAGGGTTAACCCCCTTATTAAAAAAAAAACAATAACAAATCAGGGCTGGACCCTGCAAGCCGAACTGAGGTAACGGGCCCGGTGACCTTGATTGTGTAATTGGACACTGGACACGGTTTCCAGCAGGTGAAGCTCCCCACCAATAGATCGGAGCACCCAGAGGGACTCTGCTAGGGGNAAAAAAAAAGAAAAAAAATCACGGACAAGGAGTTGCGGCATCCATGTCAGTTCATTGATTTTTTTTTTTTTTTTTTTTTTTTTTTCCATCGATCTGATCTGGTGGCCACCAAAAGTTTCAGGCACCATCACTTAGCTACTAATAGCCGGTCAATTGATTGAGGGTTGCCTCACCTGAAGGACGAGTTCCTCTCTGCAAAGTTTTGTGCGAGTCCACTTGAGTTTCTTGTCCTCCTCACCGTACATTCTTCGACACACGCTGAGGCGGTGATTGGCGTCCCTAGAGAACGACTGCGAAGAAGGAAGCCATCCGCCTGACAAGACGAAGCAAATTGTTACGACGCAAGATGGTGAAGTCGACCTTTCAGTCAAACCCTCTTGAAGCAAATTTATCCCTTTATATAAGTTTGTATTGACCGGGGGCGTTCTATTCAGGTCAAGATGGTAGACATGACTGTACTGGACCTGTCATTTCCCATCTCCTTTCCCCCTGCAGGTTTCTTCCCAAAATCAGACAGTCCATCAATTTGTGTGTTTCAGTCCTTGGCCAGTGGCCACTTCAGTTTCCTTCTCCTCTCCCTTTCTTTTTTTCMCTTTTTTTTTTTTTCGTTCAGAAAAATGGACCCATTTCCCAATTTGTGCGTGTTATCTTTGTACAGGGGCCATGCTAATCTTTTCTGTATCTCTCCAATTTGAACAGATGTCCTGAAGGACCTTCCTTCCTCCTTTCGTCACCCTTTCTTTGCCACCTCTCCACCCTTTCTTTCGCCTTTCTTTCCCCTTTCTTTCCCCTTGCTTCTGCAATGAGCTCAGACTCCAAACCAACATCTCATGCCACACCGAGTAACACTTTTCAGCACACGAGAGATGGAAACCAAAACATGTGATGGACACCAATAAACCCAACCCAACCCAACCGCATGCAACCCCACCCCACCCCACCCCACTCGAGCGATCCCAAACCAACCCAACCCCACTCCCAACGCAACCCAACCAAACCACCCCCAACCCAGCCAAACAAACCCCAACCCCAAACCGACACAAGTCCACAATCCCAAACCAACACAAATCCACCCCACGAACCCAACCCCAACCCCAAACCCCAATGCCAAGCCCAAGCCCAAGCCCAAGCCCAAGCCCAAGCCCCACACCCAAGCCCCGCACCCAAGCCCCACACCCAACCCATCCCAACCCCACCCCACCCCACCCCAAACCCCACTCCACTCCACCCCGCTTCAACCCACCCCATCCACCACACCCAGCCCAGTGCACCCCCGCCCTGCCCCGCCCTGCCCCGCCCTGCCCCGCCCGGCCCCGCCCGACCCAGGCTAGCCCAACCCAGCCAATGCCAGCCCAGCCCAGCCAAGCCACACCATGCCAAGGCAAGCCATGCCAGACCACACCACCTCACACCACACCACACCTCACCACACCTCACCACACCTCACCACACCACACCTCACCACACCTCACCACACCAAACCAAACCAAACCAAACCAAACATACATACAAACAATTGCTTCACTTTTTTCAGCGGACATTTACGGATACCCCAGAATGGAAAGCACCTCTCTGCAGTCTCATCAGCAATACCCACACTTAACCCCAGTTATTAAACGGGAAAACAAGCCACCAAAGACATTGGAAGGACGTCAATACCCCGCAATGACTCCCTATTGCGTAAATTGACATGATAATAATGTCCAATGTACTGTTGCTTAGTGACACACTGAGAAACGTTTAGTACTACTCCATTTAGACACTGTGGCATGGTGTTAAGTAACTGTGAAGTTACTGTGTGAACGCCATAGAGTTATGTAATTGTAAGGTTCGACAACAGCATAGTGTCGGCCTTGTAGTACTACGTAATTTGAACGTTGACAGTCTAGCTCACTATGATATCTAAAGTAAAACGAATGCTGGAAATGGCTGTCTCAGATCTAGAAAAGGCGTTCTTTTCCAGCCTTATGACACACACTTACAACCATTTAGTACTACACAATTGGAACAATGTGGCGTAGTCTTCAGTAACAGTGAAGTTAATGTGAACGTCATCGAACCATGTAATTGTAGGGTTCAACTCCAGCGTAGTGTCACTTGTATACCATGGCCACGCCGGACCCGGACCCGCTCACGGCATGTCCGGTCGGGTCCGGACGTCCGGACTTCTGGAAAATTCAGCCAAATATCCAGTCCAGTGAGGACCATTTCTTTTGGCCTTTGAGCTTCTTTCTTCCAACCACCCCTGAACGTGAACAAAATACGTCAACCTCAATACACTGTGTAGGACTCGTGCTAGTGGCTGAATTGGGTCGTACTACCGTATCAGACTCGGATACAACAGTGTATGTGTTACCCAACTTACCCCTCTTAAACCACCCCTTCGTTTCCCAGCTAGACGGACCTCCAACAAATTTGTCATCAGGATCCAGGAATAAATTCAACTGGGTGCAGGCAGGTCCTCACATCCACGATACAACCTGGCGGGTTTAACTGGGGCACGTCGCTTGCCAACTGATGTTTTCATGGCGGGGAAAAAGGCGCTGAATAGTGTTAATTGAACTTAATTGAACTTAACTGAACTTTAGTTTGTGTGAGGTTCTGAAGAGTCTAACATCATCCAAACAGTGTTCAACGAACCGGGTCACAGGGGAAACATACGGTTGCCAGTGAAAAGACTAGACCAGCTCTTGAGCAGACGAGGACCTGTTGAGCACAGCACAAACATTACAAAGTAGCAGTCAGGCACTGATCAAATCATAAAAAATAATAAAATATACTAAATGCAAATGATATTCTGTTGAAGATGGTAAAAGCGAGTTGACAGTAAACTTGAATAAAGGACAGTACAATAGTGATTATTATAGCCTTATAGGAAATCAGTTGAGAGGAATCACCATCGTGAGAGGTTGAAGGCAGTCATACCAGAGGAATTTAGCAGGTGCAGAGGTTAGCATCCTCCTCAACAGAGGTTTGTGAGAGGCTGTTCGGCATTGGGAAAGAGGTAGTCAGTAATTGATCTCATCATGGAGAGAGAGAGGGGGGGGGGAAGAGAGAGAGAGAGAGAGAGAGAGAGAGAGAGAGAGAGAGNAGAGAGAGAGAGAGAGAGAGAGAGAGAGAGAGAGAGAGAGAGAGAGAGAGAGAGAGAGGTGTCTATGATGAGCAGGACTGCAGTAAGATCTTACCTGACCCGGAAGTGCAGATGAGAGGCAAGGACCTGCAAAGATAGGTGCACCAGCCTTGAACTGCAGAGCGGAAGGAACGGATCACGGTTTTGCTTGTTCAGTATCAGGCCTTGAAGAAGAGAGAAAAAAAAAAAAAAAAAAAAGGAGACAATATCACGCAAGTGCCAAGGGGTCTTTTCTTTTTCTAAGAAGGAATGATGAATGACAAAGAAAAAGGAAAAGAACAAGTGGAATGATGAAGAACTGGAGAGGGCGAGATGCTTTGCAATCTTCAAAGTCCTTAAACGAGGTAAGAGTCCTGATGTGCACACCTCCCTAGCAAGTTCAGACAGGTTGGGAACTCGGGATGCATTATGGTAGGCCACGTGGCAAAAGAAGGCGTGGGCCCCGCCTGGCCCAGCAATAACTGGTCAGCAATCAGGCACAGCTGGTGCATTTTTTATTTCTCATTTTTTATTTATTTTTCTTTAGCTGGTGGACTGGATAGCTGGCAAATATTTATCCGAGTTGTTTGGGAAAGGGTGACTTTCGCCCTTGTCCTAGGCATCCGATGTTGTCGACACACGGCCTTGAACCTTGAATCAGTTCTTTCATAACGATTGTCAGGGAGGTCCTCGTAAATCATTGCTGTTATCAGGATTTTATCATTTTGGTAATCATCGTTGTATTAACTTGTACCTTGGGCCACATTGAAAAAAAAAAAAAAAAAAAAGGAAAGCACAAAAGTTACAAAACTACATTGATGTCCTTCAGAAGAGCTGTTCAAATTGGAAAGATAGTTACGATACAGAGAAGATCGGGATCACCCAACCAAAAAAAAAAAAAAAAAAAAAAAAAAAAAAAAAAAAAAAAAAAAAAAAAAAAAAAAACGTCACGCACTGTGCAAGGATTCAACAGATTAGGAGTGCGTGAGAAACTCATGGATGCATAGTGGAGAACACTGATCACACAGTGATTACCAAAGCCATCGCATAAGAAAGCACAGTGCCCGAATGTACGTAGATTGCGAATAGCCGGCAGGTATGGCACCCCGACCGGTTTCGACGGTCGCCACACGGTCTTCTTCAGGGGGGAAAAACCACCTTCGTCGCCCTCGTCAACAACCGGGCCTACCTCTAACCGGCCTCCGCTGCTGACCCACTGTCATCTCTGGAAACACCAGCGGGATCACAGGTTGGACCCAAAGAGAAAGTCGGCTACACAATCACTACCTATATAGTCCGGTCGCAATTCCAAGTACACACTCACCTAGGCGAAAAAAGCGAGGTTGCCTACTCCAGAAAATCCAGAGGCCCTCGTCATAGAAAAAAAGTTAAAAAATTAATAAAAACACATTGTCACACAGGTCGATAGTGCAAGGCCATACGGCATCGGGCAAGGAACAGAGGCCCAGGGTCGGTCCTAGCCTCCTAGGTCAACCGTTCATAGTACGGGCGGGCCATTAAGACGACCATAAGCCACTTCTTAATGATGTGCCAGAGAGTCCCGGGAGGCGTTGGCCAGTTGCTCAGTGGCCCTACGCGACAGGGCAGGAACAAGGCCATGAGGCCAAAAAACAGCTATCAAACAACTAACTGAAAACTCACAACTCTGTCCGAATCCTGTATGCGAACCAACACAAACGTAGCTACCGTCTTCACCCGAATAGAACGCCTGGTCATTATAGCTGCATCTGGAATCGAAATTGTACCAGATACGGCTATAATGAACGGACGTTCTATTCGGGTGAAGACGGTAGTCTCAGAAGTCACAACCCTGTCCGAACACCATCCGCGGACCAACACATATGTCAATCCATTATATACTTCCATGTCACAAAACTCAATACTAATCATACTACTCAAAACAAGATGTATTCGTCGAACCGCACAGCTAGCATCCTACTACCTTCTGTTTCCACGAGTGTGGCTCCGAATCAAACGACAACATTCAAACAAAGTTGACATTGCAATTATTTTGAAAGCAGAAGTACCATACTATACAACTGCAGTTCTAAGATCCATGACATATGATCTCGATCGAGTGAGCAGGGTCAAAATGACAACATCCTACAGCATTCCAATTTCCCTGGAACGAGACAGACATGTCTCACTAAACGGCTTCGGCATCTGTGCGCAATCGAGTTATAGCGATCAAAAGCTCTCTATGGTCACGACCCACAGGAGGACACACAATCATTCATGCATACAGCAGTCTGCCCCTGGCTAGTATAGCCAATCTCTGATGGTGGTCCAGATCTGGTCGCGTCCTTCGGCAAGTCGCTTCGAAACCCTGTCCAGAAACTGCTTCAGGAAGCTTTCCATTCGCAGCTCTCGCGACCGAGTGAGGACTTTCATAGGAACTTGGGATCTCAGATTAGTCTTTCGATGCAGGTAGCTAGATATCGCGGCGGCACTTTTTTTAGCTTGCTGCCCCACCGGACCCTACAAATGGAATGCCGGCCCGTTCTTAAATTCCAACCTCCCCTCGTCCCACAGAGTCTTTTCATCCTTGCCCATCTGGATGCACCCAACATAAGGTGAGAACTTGTCGACCCTCATCTGGATGCCCAAAAATTGCCAAACGCCCGTCCCGTCATTGTTACGCCGTACCGTCATTGGTACGCTTCAGGGACAGGTTGTCCAAGTAGCACTGCTCAAATTTCTCACGAATCTCCGAGACAGACTTCCCCTTACCTCCACGGTCTACTACGACAATCAAACTAACATCATCCATCAGACGACATCCAAACACTATCAAGAAATTGTCCAAAAATTTTCAAAAAGAAGAAAGATCTTGCGAAGATCGAGATACGGGAACAATGATCTAGCTCTGGCAATGTGATAGCCATCGTTGCGACCAGCCTGTCATCAGTGCAGCGACGGCTTATGTGATAGCCGTCATTTTAATCAGCCCGTCAATGTGATAGCCCTTGTTGTGATTAGCCTCTCATACTCCCAGCCATGGCTATTTGATAGCCGTCACTGGAACAACTTCTCTTCACTCATTTGCCAAACTCCGTCACCAGGCCAGTATTCCTGTTGGGGTTGATATTCCACCTCCTCCTCTAACCCCTCCCTCCTCTCCATGGTGCTGTGGGCTTAGAGCTTTTGGCTAGGCATCCATAGGATGGTGAGAGAACTTATTGATAAACCGACGACGGGCCCAATTTCCAGCACATGCTGGGCCCGATTCCCAGCACGCGCTGCTCCCCGTGAATCGATCGCAGCCTTCCTTTGTTTTTCTTTCCTCCCCCCCCAAAAAAAAGGATGGTGAGGGAACTCTGAAGAGGGGTGAGGGAGAGAAGGGAGTGATGACCTGCCTTCTTGGATGAGCGTGGGGGACCGCACAGACAAGCGAAAGGGGAGAGAGAAAGAGGATTGTAGGGTAGGTGAAAGGAGAAGGGGTCACAAAGATGACACACCAACCTTCCAGATATGAGACCCGTCTGGCTGAATGGCTCCCACAGTCCCATCGACGCAGCAGTAGATCACTGCCAGGACATGGATAAGCGACAACAACACACACAGTAAGGTATTGCGGTCGTCCCCCGAACATAAGGCAACATGAGCTGTGTTCAAATTTTTTGAAAAAAAATGATCGGTGACTCGAACAGAGCATACACGCGTTGTATCCGAATATTCCGGCTGTTTGAATAGAACGCATATGCGCTGTATAACTTGTATTCCAATAGGAAGCAACCTATGTGCTGCATTCGTTTACAAATTACAATGCATATGCGTTATGTTCGGGGGAAGGCGCGTGACTTCTGAGGACTCATTCTTGACATTGTTCATGGTCATTCGATAACAAAGTTCAACCGCAAGCAGGTTGATTCTTCACATTATTGGACTGATCGTTCTATCTTCGAGCGAAAGGACCTGACTGCTGTGAAATTTTCCCTAGGGTAAGTGGAACAGAAGGGACTTCAACACCCAGTCCATGCCGCCAAATACCAAACTGTCAGTAAACAGGTCACCGGTTCAAAATTTTGAGTCCTTCCCCCTCCCCCCCCCCGAACTCGGTAACGGCCTTGAGATATCATCATTGAGTCCTTCCCCCTCCCCGGAACTCGGTAACGGCCTTGAGATATCATCATTGAGCCGACTGGGTCCACATGGCCCCACATTGTTCAGAACTATTTTATTCCTGTTCATCTGGTTGCATCGGGGTTCGGACTCGGGTTTGTATTTCAACAGCTCATAATAGGTGTGTATCAACTGAGCTTGATGGGATTGGTGAATGTAATAATGTGAGGGGCTATTCCCTTCAATTCAAAACAAAACAAGGGGGAGAAAGAAACCAAAAAAACAAAAAGAGGGGGACTTAAATAGCCAGTACAGGGGATCACTTAACTGACTGAAGTCCATATGACGGTTCCCGATTTTCGACCGGAACATGCAGCAGACTAAATCATCTTTTTTTTCTCTCCTTTTTTCCCCTCACAGTTACAGACTGAGAAATCTGCATTTTTTGGGCTTGGCTCCCGGAAAAAACAAAGCAGAACAAGCAAACCATCAAGTCCAATCTTCGATCGCACTGTCAAGCAAACCTGGATACGAGATGTTTTTAAAGACAAAAAAGATCTGGAACCAACAATCAAGGGAAGACGAAACAAGCTAATCGGTTCTGAATCAGACCAGATCTCAAAGATCCCGTGGAAAAGTACAACATGATAAGACCAATTTTTTTTTATTTTTTTTTTTATAATAACTAACCTATATTCTTCTCTCAATATGGCTCCACACTACCTACCTATGTACTACTAGCTTAGCAGAGGGCGCTGAGGTTATGGGTTGGATTCCTGGCCTCCCGGCTATCTTATTTTTCATTGGCTATCTTTAAGCAAGACAAGAAGCATGACCCACGACCAAGGATTTTCAGTTGTCTAGAGGGAAGGAGGATTACAGACGTTAATACAGAGAAGCATGTAGTGCCCAGTATGGCTTCCTGTTGGCAATAGGTTAAAGGGACCATCCTACTCATCTTTGATTTGGCCATGGTTCACTTAGGTGGGGGGTGTGGGTGTAAGTGGGGAAAAAAGGGGTTCAAAAGGCTCGAGGGGGATGTACATTAAGTTGAATTTTTGCTCGTTTTGGGATTTTAGTTTTAATGATTTAATCTTTGATTAAAAAAAAAAAAAACATTCCTTGGGCTGCCCTGGAAACTGGATTGGGACCCTTCTCCGGCCGGGCCATCTGTGCTACTAGAAGCAGCCCGGATGCCCGGCCAGGTAAAACCTAGTTATTAACATCATGCCTCACCTGTTCCCTTGGATCTGGTCACAGCCAAGCTCGCAAAAATGGGCGCACCTGTGGAGTACTCCCACATCTTCTCGGGTATTCCCTGATCCACCAGCACAACACACAACCTCGTTGGTTTTAATAAACACTGCAATGAAAGGGAGTGTAGAGGACACTTTGCCCCACTATAGACCCACCCATAACTCACACATGCAGCATTACAATGAGCTGCAACCGTATCATCATCTTGGTCAGTCTACCAGACTGCTCCAGGTAAGGTGTCAACGGAGATATGAAGACAGGAAGGAGGCAAGGGACATGGACGAAGCAGACAAGCGAACAGCTGGACAGGAAGGTAATCTCCTGACATCTCCCATAATATGTTGCTTGGCAAACCCAGGACGCAGCTATGCCGCGGTAAGACAGCTCTGCATGTTCCCCATGTGCACCCTGAGCACTCCACATGTGGATGGATGGATGGATGGAAAGATGCAGTGACAGGAGGAGTTGATGGATGGGTGAATGGGTGGGTGGATGGATGGGCGTGCATGCATGGATAGATGGGCGTGCATGCATGGATAGATGGGCGTGCATGCATGGATAGATGGGCGTGCATGCATGGATAGGTGGATGTGCATGCATGGATGGATGGGTGGATGTGCATGCATGGATGGATGGATGGATGTGCATGGATGGATGGAGATGCATGCATGTATGGATGCGAAGGGAGGGAGGGACGGAGGGAGGAAGGAGGGAGGGACAGGGGGACGGATGGATGGATGCAGGGGCTGAGGGACGGACGGAGAGCCTTGTTTGTGGGCTCGGGACTCTGTTTGTCACCTTCGCTTCTTGATAGGGGCTCGGCGGAGAATGAGTTTCCGGTGTTCATCTCATGACACGTGCTGAGGACAGCCATGCACCACCTAGAGTAAGTGCTTCAAGTTCGTCTAGGCAAGTCTTTGGCGTTACTATGTAGAATTCTGACAGAGGGATGGGGGGACGGACAGTCGGACGGAAGGACAGAAGGATGGTCAGACGGACGGATGGACGGAGGGACGGACAGATGGATCGACTGATGGACGGATGGGCGGAGGGACGGACGGACGGATGGATGGATGGATGGATGGATGGATGGATCGAAGGACAGAAGGACAACCACGAAGGACAGATGGGCCAAATAACGATCCAGAAGGACGGGATGGAAGGATGGACTGATGGATGAAAGGACAAGCACGGAGGATGATCCAGAAGGACGGAAGGATGGAACGAAAGATGGAAGGACGGACGGACGGAAGGACAGAAGGACGGGAGGACCAGAGGGGGACGGAAGGACTCAGGGAAAGGATGGAAGGATGATTGATAGGGGGAAAAAAAGAATCCAGTGATCATGGATATGTAATGACCCGCCAACTCAGACTGAGAACACTGCTGATTTCTGGGATTTGCTGCTGGAATGTATGCCTTGCTGAGATTCCCACATTCTGCTGTGATTTCGAAGTCTGTGTGTGTGTGTGCCTGCTGGTCTGCGTGCCTGTCTGAGTGCTTGTCGGCCTGAGTGTGTGTGTGTGTGTGTGTGTGTGTGACCCACAAGGGTACTTGTTGGTTTGGAGGCCCCGCTGGGCCGGTACTTACCTGCGGCCGTGACTTTGAGGGTTGCAACGGGAAAAACACTCGGGGGTAGGCGCGCAAAACTTAGAGCAGCGGGAAAAACACTCAAGTAGCAGGTAGGCCGGTACCACTCAAGTAGTGGTAGAAGTGTCGGGTACTCGAGGCCGAGCAGAAGAAGACAAAAAGTTGGCATTTTAGGAGGCCCAGTAGCGGTAGGCTAGAGGTAGGCCGGTACCAGTACGAGTAGCCTGAGTCTAGGGCCTGTACGGACAATATCAGGGCCGGTTGCTGGGAGGCTGTACGGCCTAGGAAGTCACCGCCCAGGAGGCAAGTAGGCCGCTATATCTTCGGGAGGAGCAAGTAGCTCCTCCTCATTTGCGGTGTGCAAGGATTGGCGACATACTGCTGGAGCCAAGCGCTGGACTTGGAGTGCTGCCTGGAGGAAGGAGAGCAGCTGGGCACTCAGCCTGGCTATGGCGAGCAGGAGGAAGAAGGGGGCAAAGGAGGAGCGTGGCGAGGTACCTACCTGGCTATGGTGGACGCCATCTTCATCACCTTGATAGGCGCTGCATCTGGAAGGCCCCAGTTGGGGTAGTGCCGCACCAAGGAAGCTCGAGGCAGAGTCAGGCATGGCGGCCTGATGAGCAGCGACATAGCTGCTTTGTGTTGTCCTTTGCACAAGAGTGCAGAGCCCCTAGTAGCCTTGGCATGTGAGAGGAGGAAGAAGGGGAAAGCCATGGCTATGGTGGACCTATTGTTGTGCTAGTAGTAAGAGGGAACTTCGGATATTGATTCAGTCAGGTTAATATTATTATTTGGAAGAAGAATAAGATTGGCGAAGTCAACGAGGAGGAAGAAGGTGGAGAGAGAAGGGGGATTTGTCATTGGTCTTCTTCTTCTTCTTCTTCTTCTTCTTCTTCTTCTTCTTCTTCTTCTTCTTCTTCTTCTTCTTCTTCTTCTTTCTCTCTTCTTTGGTCTCTATCTCTTTGCAAGTGCTTTCATTTCTTTCACAGTTGGGTGGCATCGTCTTTCATTGTGAATTTGCACTTTGGGAATGACCAGGATCGTAACAGATATAAAAAATAAAAGGGAATATGGATGGATTGCAAGGAATATGAGCGAGAGCAATAGACAGAAAACCAAGTTGCAAAATCACGCAGAAGTCCAGATAGTCATGTACCAAGCAGAGAGCATAAATGCACCAAGATTCCATCCACATGAGAATGATACAATGAACTCGTGAGCCAATGTCCAAGCCCTCAGGCCACACCAACGCAGTATCCAATGCCACTCCTACTGTATTGCGCCCAGCGCCCAGCCTAGTCTACTCAGCCTATCTATCCTATCTACATTCGTGCAACAGGCTCACTTTGCCGTCGAAGACCGATGTACATGACGTCAACACAGATGCCGACCTCCCACATACACCAGGTACGTTCTCTCGTCTCCTCTCATCAGACCTTGTCCACCCACTGATGCGCCTCACTCCTGAAGACCACTGTCGCCTATCACCTGCCTCCGCCTCTGCCGCCCGGCTATGCCCGCTAAGCGCCCTGCTGCCCTGCAGCGCCCTTCACCTCATAGCGCCCGCTCGCGCCCCAGCACGCATGTGCTAATGCAGACACCTGCACATCAACTCAGCAGCATGTCTGCATTGCCTAGGCCAGAATGCCAGCCTCTGGCTGGCCTCCTCCCTATATGGGAGTATCTCCCCTCCTGAGCTGCCTGGGCCTGGCCGAGGAGGTTTCCAGTAATTTCTGGCCGGCCCCCAGTGTCTGTGTGGCATACTGCGTAGCCACACGGGCCCTACAG